GGATAGCCAATCATGCTCTGTATTAGATAGTCCCTTCTTTCTTTAGTATATTAGATTCCTATTATTTCTGTAATAGTTAACACAAACTTAGCGGCTTAAAACAAAACAGATTTGTTATTTTACAGTTATGAAGGTCAGAAGTCTAAAATGGTTCTCATGGGTTAAAATTAAGGTGTCCATAAAGCTGCATTCTTTCTGGAGGCTTTAAGGGAGAATCTGTTCCTTGACTCCTACAGCTTGTAGAAGCTACCCTTATTCTTTGGCTCACAGCTCCCTTCCATCTTCAAAGCCAACACTTGCATCACTCCCTCTGACTCTGTTGCTTTCTTCTTTAATTTATAAGGACATTGGGCACACTTGGATAATCCAGGATAATCTCTTCATCTCAAGATTCCTAATTTTGTCATAGTTGCAAAGTCCCTTTTGTAGGAGAACGTATTTACAGATCCTGGGTATTGGGGCATGGACATCTTTAGGGGGCCATTATTCTGCCTTCGTGATCTATACTGCCCCCTGTGTCATATATCATTTAAGCATAAATAAGAGTCTGTTTCTGGATTCTGGATTCCATTGCTCTATTTTCTTACTGTGTTCCAGGACTATACAGAATCACACTATCATAATTAATGATAGTGACTCTTTATAATGACTCTTTGTATGTGATAGGCATAATCCTTAACTTGTTCTTCTGCTTCTGAATGTTTTGGCTATTTTTGGACTTTGACCTTTTCATACAAATCGTACAACCAATTGGTAAGTTGATCCAAATCCTATTTTAATTAGATTTTAATTAGAACTGTATAGAACCTATAGATATAATTGAAAATACTAGAAATTGAGACTCCCTGTCCATGAACGTAATCTGTCTCTCAATCCATTTATATCCATTTGACAGCTTTATTAATCTTTTTTCTATATTCTCTGTAAAGGTTTTGATTATACACAATTAAATTTATTCTTAGAAAATCTTATTTATTTTTTACTGATGCCATAAATGGTATCTCTCCCTTTTTAAAATTACTAATTATATGTTGCTGATGTACAGAAATACAATTGATTTTTTATATTGATTTTGTATAAAACACCTTGCTAAGCTCTTTTACTGCTTCTAATGATTTTTCTGAAATTACTTTGAGCTTTTTATGTATATAAATCATATAAACCTTGAATGGTATTTTGTTTCTTACTTTCTGACATTTATAACATCTATCTTATTCAATGGCTTAAATCTTCAATGTTGAATAAAACGAGAATGTGCATCTTTACCTTGTTTTTGGTATTATTTTACTATTAAATAAACAATTCTTACGGGTTTTAATAGAAAGCTTCTATTGGGTTAAGGAAGTTTCTTTCATCCTTCAGATGATGTGAGTTTTATAATGATTGAAATTGAATTTTATAAAATTATTTATCTTATTAAATAAAATGTTAGCCTTTTTTTTTTTTGTCCAAATAAAATGTTAACCTCTTTTTCTCCATTGCCAATATGTGAATAATAATTAGGGGTTATAAATCTTAAACTACCCATGTATCTGTGATAAACACAACTCAATCATTATGTGTTTTTTGTATATACAACAGGCCTTGGTTATGCTACTGTTTTGTTAAGTGGGTTTTGTTTCATGAGTGGATTTGTTCTATAAATTCCCTTTTCTGAATTGCTTTTACTATTAAGGATATTAGCCTGCTAACTGAGTAAAGAGATATTTCTCCATTTCTTTCTTGGATAGTCTGCTATTAGCTCACAATCTCAGGAATTTCCTGGGTGAATTTCAAACCTAGCCCCCATACACGGAGGGCAAGAACAGACTGAAGAAAGAGGCAGGCCACTCCAGATTGGTATTTGAAAAGTTTAATAAGCAAGGGAACTTATAGATGAGGCTGTCTTGGGTGACTGCAAAATGAGTAGATCTCAGCACCTGCCCACCAGAATCTTAAGAGTTTATATAAAGACCTTAATAAGGTTCAGTCATGTGTATAGTCCAGATGGTCTCCATAATACATCACTGTTTCTCAACACTGTGTCCTTGAAGTGGCTCCTATTGTGGGATCAGTGGGTAGCACATAAATTCCAAGGACAAGTGAGGGGGTAAAGAGCCTCTGGTTGCCGAAATCCAGGTGGTGGGATCAATCGGCAGTCACATCTTGTCTGTGACTCCTCCAACATCTGCCTAGATTGAAATCATGAAATATTTTCTAAAGGTCTAGTGATATTCCATTGTGCAACTACCTGGGATTGTTAATATTTCTTTGTAGGACATTTCATTATGATATTATTTTTAAAATATCTGTATGTTTTCAACCTTCTAATTTCCCCTCCATTTTTAATTGAAGTCCTATTTACATACTGTGAAATGTACAGGTTTTAGTGTATGACTTGATGAGTTCTGACAAAAATCTACCTATACTTTCAGCAAAATAGAGAACAATTCCACCACCCCAGATGTTTCCTTCATGCCACTTTCCAGCCAGTCCAAACCTGGCCTTCTAGTTTCCACAGGCAACCACTCTTAGGAATTCTAACACCATATATTATTTTGGCCTCTAGAATTTTTTAACGGTGGAATCTAACATGATACACTTTTTGTATCTGGCTTCTTTCACTCAACATAATTGTGAGATACATCCATGCTGTTATGTTAATCAGTGACTAATTCTATTTATGTGTAAACTTATTGATTTTTTTCCCCTTGGAGGGCATTGGCTTATTTCTAGTTAGTGGTGATTGTGAGTAAGGATATTCTTGTACAAGTCATTTTGTAAACATATGCTTTTATATCCCTAGGTTAAATACCTACATAGAATTTCTGGGTCATAGTGGAACTCTATGTTTAACTTTATAAATAACTGTCAATCTTTCCAAGACAGTTGTATCATTTTAAACTGCTAATAGTGGCTGTCTCCTACTTCCAGATCCTCATCAACATTTGGTCTTTTTTTTTGTTTGTTTTAGTAATTCTGATATGTGTGTGTTTAATTATTGACTTGATAAGAGTTTTTTATAGATCTAGATACTAATCATTTTTAAAGTTTTTATTTTAATTCCAGTTAGTTAACATACAGTGTTCTATTTAAGATACTAATCATTTTTTGGATGTATGCACGGGGAGTATATTCTCCCAGATAATTCCTAAGAAATTATCTATTTAATTTCTTAATGGTTTTTGGATCAGCCAAAGTTTGAGTGAGTGCTGTTTGCTTACTATTAATCAGGCTTCCCCAGTTTAAATTTGCAAGGGCATTCTTGTATGCTTTCTAACTAGCATTCTTACCATTTTAGTTTTTATGTTCAGATCTATGATAGATCTCAAAATAAAGTTTGCCTAAATGTGAGGTAGGACAGAAAACGTTTCTTAGTGTTTGTTTTGTTATGGGTTTTTGTTTGTTTGTTGCATATGAATGTCCAATTGTTCTAGCTTTATTTCCAAAAAAGTTTTGCAATTTCAAATTGCATCAAATATTGCTGATGCACTTTTGTTGAAAATCAATTTACCTTCTAAGTGTATAGTCTTTCTGAACGTTATACTGTTCCATTTATCTATTTGCCTATAGGTACAGCAGTCCACACTTCAGTACAATATTAAATAAATGTGGTGAGAGCAGACATCCTTGAATTTATCCTAGATTTAGGGGAAAAGCAATTTGTCTTTAACCATTCAATATGGTGTATTATTACTACAGGACTATAGATTTAAAAATATTTATAGAAAACCTCTGATTTAGAAAGCAGTAACTTAATTTTATTTATCTTTGTTTTTCACTTACCCAACACAGCTTTTGGTGCATTCTAAGGCCCTTGTATTTTTTTTAAAGATTTTATTTATTTATTTGAGAGAGAGAATGAGAGATAGAGAGCATGAGAGGGAAGAGGGTCAGAGGGAGAGGCAGACTCCCTGCTGAGCAGGGAGCCCGATGTGGGACTCGATCCCTGGACTCCAGGATCATGACCTGAGCCGAAGGCAGTCACTTAACCAACTGAGCCACCCAGGTGCCCCAGCCCCTTGTATTTTTTAAATTAATCAGTGAACGATTATCCAAGTCATTCGGTGTGGTAATGTGCCATTCAGTAGCTGACAATATACTCTCATAACTGCTCTTATTTCACCTGTTTTTAACCATGTTTCAGGATGAATAAACAAACTGAAAAACCTCCCTTAATTTCCCATTTAGAGAAACTGTTTTGTATATACGTGGTATCAGTAGTGTTTTAAAGTTTTCTGTATATGTGATCACATCTTTTATTTGCTGATCCTTAGAACAGCTCTTTAACATAGAGAATGTAAGATTGAAGAATAATTGAATTGTTTATGCCTAATCGTGAAATTTGGAATAGAATGTTATAGGCACAGATAATACTTAACAAAAATGAACATTAAATTTTATTTTAAAAATCTATTTAAGGGGCACCTGGGTGGCTCAGTTGGTTAAGCATCTACTGTGGCTCAGGTCATGATCCTGGGGTGCTGGGATCCAGCCCCACGTCAGGCTCCCTGCTCAGCAGGGGAGTCTGCTTCTCCCTCTCCCTCCCCCTGCTCATGCTCTCTCTCTCTCTTTCTCTCGCTCACTCTGTCTTTCAAAGATAAATAAATAAAATCTTAAAAATCTATTTAAAATATTAACCTTTGCAATTTTGAAGGTGCATAGTCTAAAATAATTTTTTTTCAATAATCTGGAGAGAAAAAGCCTTTAGAAATTTTGTAAACCATAGTTCTCCCTAATTTCTTTCTTATAAGTGATCTATTTATTTGATTATGTAAGTACTATAAATGACATAGTCAACATATTATTGATTTTGGCAATCCTTTAGAAAAGGCCTCCTTTTTAAAATGGATCCTAGATTAAAGGTCTGAAATGGTTTCGTGTGTGTGTCTGTGTGTGTGAATGGCGTAACTCTCTTCTGCATGGTAAAGTTTGAAAAGCCCATAACCCATCATTTATTTTTGGTGCAAATTATTATTTTTTCCACTTTAAAACAGAATTCTCTTGATTTTGTTTCCTAGTTCAATTTTGTGGGGAAATTGCTTGGACCAAGAGGAAATTCCTTGAAGAGACTACAGGAAGAAACAGGTGCTAAAATGTCTATCCTGGGCAAAGGATCAATGAGAGATAAAGCAAAGGTACTGAACTTTGAATTTGATTTTTAACACATACAGGGCCAAACTTACACCCAGGGCCAAATTTACAAGCACATCTGCACTGTTCTTCCATTGTTTCCTACGATCTTCACCTTCTGGACCACCTTGTTGCACTCTCAGTCAATTCCTCTATTTTCATAAAAATCAATTACCCTTCTCCCCCCCGCCCCCCCCACCAGAGCATGTGATTCCACATCTTTATTCTTTTTGGTCCTTTGTGTAGGTTGTTGCGAAATCTCCTTACTTTTTCTGTGTCCTCCGTAAGATGTTTCTATATGTCTATGCTCATTTTCTTTAATTCCCTGTCTGGATCCCTTTTCTCTCTTCAGCTGTGTCATCTAATCACATCCATTGTATCATTCTCTCTTTTTATCTCTATGCTCCATTTCACTCTGATCCTCTCACCCCAAGCAATTTCAAATACTTATCTGCAAATCTTAGAGAATTCCACTTATTTTCTGAAATGTTTCTGTCATGTTAAACAATTCACCTGACCCCGAAAGAACAAATAAGCTAAGAAATATATGAACTTTGATGTTTGAAATGATTTATTTCACATCTGAACTACATCATTTTCCCATTTTATAAAGTGATAGCAATTTTCTCTGTGTTAAAATTCATTGTTTTGGAAAAATAACAACCATTTATAGAGATTTATTCATAAAGGATCTTTTGTAATTCATTGAGAAAGGGTGGATGTATTAAGGTACTTATTATTTGACCAGGCCATGCTTTTCTGATTTGAATTATTACCATGGAAAATAAAATGTTCAAACTGTTATTTCTGACTATGGGAATTACTTAGGAAAATTGTTTAGGTGTTCTCTCTTTTAACTATTAATGTGAAATCTTGAAGAAAATTATAGTAGGAAATGTCACCAAACAGATATCTCATGTCTTACACTGTACACTTCATACTGGTTTTTTTTTTTTTTTTAATCTTCACACCTTTTTAAGATTTAGATCAGGCATCATCTCCCCAATGGGGCTTTTCTGAAACTCCTTTGATAGGCTAAATCCTCTCATCACTTAACATATTTTGTTGAAATTTTCTGTTTCTCTCATTAAACTGTACACTCCTACCAGCCAGAGAAATAAAGTAGTCAGCTTCACATATCAGAGCATTTGTATAGGCACGCCATACTTTTCAAAGCAAATGGGTGTTTATTGTTTATTCCCATATACTTGGATTTTTTTTTTTCCTGTCCACAGAGCTTTACATTAGATTTCTTTTTCCCTGTGAGCATGTTAGGAACCAGCATAAGTATTTGCAAATCTAGTTGGAAGTAAATTTAGTTCTATTAAGTTTCCATTAGGTTTAATTTACTGATATTAGCTGTTACTTAAAATCCAGTGTCTCATTGATTAGTTTTTGGGTAATCAATCAGGTTTGTCCATCCTTCAAACATTTTTATTGTTCCTTTACAAAATGAAAGAAGATGAAAACATATAATAATAATGTATTGCACTATAAACTATGTTTTATAGACTCTGAATAAGACCTTAACTGCCAAGGGTGGTGGGCACACAGCTGAAATAAAACCACAGACACGGATATGCAAAAATTTACCTTAGGAAACACTTGATTAAAATAAAAATAAATCCTTGGTAAAATATTGATCACTGTGCTGCTATTTTACCTCTCTGCAACATTATCTGGTCAGGAAGGAAGATTTTATATGTGATTTTGTTCTTCTAACAAATAAATAAAACTTATCTGATTCTTCAGTGGAAGTATATACATGTGTATGTATTTAAACAGCCACACAAGAATATATTCATGCATTAATTGCAGAAGTATTTATTGCTGTGTCACACTGTGTGTCATCTGTAATTCTAGTCCATGGTAATGGATATGACAAAAATTTTTCTCCTCCTAGAGTTTACAATCCAATGGGAGAGACAGACAATAAATAAGTGAATAAACACATTTTAATAATTCTTATGCATTAAAATAATACAGATTGTTTTTCTGTGTTGGCTCTGCTATTAAGATGCTACACAATGTATGTCTTAAACTTGATCTTTGTTTCATGATAGAAAGGAGATATTTGGATAGCTAACTAAATCAGGATGAAATAACTATGCAAAAACATTTCTTACAGATCCGCTATGTGCTCAACTGTAGATTACATATTATGTTATGTAGAAAATAAGTATTAGACAGGAGTCAAGCCCTCACAAAACTTTTAATTTAATTAAACATCCTGATCTGTTTAACACTTTCTTTAAAAAAAAAGTTAAGAAAGTATCCATCATTGAATTAGAAGGTGGAAAGAGTGACATTCTCATTTAATTTTATTTTTACAAATGTAAGAAGACTACTTCATCCTTCGAAAAGCACAAAGTTTTAAGATTTGTTATAGGATCATTATAAAATTGCATGATATAGAAAATAGTTCTAGTGGTTTGGTGTAGTAAGATTCTAACAAGTTCAATGTTTTTATTTGTTTTATTTTGGTTTTGGTGGGCTTGGGGGAAACATTCCCTTTCTTTTAGCTACACCTAGCCAATAACTCTGTGAGCAGAGAGGGAAAACAAAAACCAAAACAAAATGAGATGTGGTAATATCCAAAGTAATACCAGTAGCAAAATTCTACCTTATATTCAATATTTTATTCCCATACTGGTCAGATCACTGAATATGTGAACTCACATTTTACCAAGAACTATCCAGGAATGCTTAAACAGAAGCTAACTTTTAAATGGTGATGATAAAGATATTCTTACAGAAAATTAGAAAGTAATATATACAGTATGTCTGCAATATTTCAAAATATCTCAGGAAATTAACTGGCAGTTCAGAAATTTCTTTGAAGTCTGAATCCCTCATACACCATATGGCTAGCCAGTTCTAAATAACCACGCAGCTGCCGGCTTCTCTAGCAGTTGCTGCTTCTTCTTCTCCTTTTTTTTTTTTTTTCCCCTAGCAGTTGCTTCTGAGCAATCTTCAGGGGTAACTTACTGTAGCTTCAGATAGAGTGTTGCTATTTTTAGTGATGCTGATGGCAGAGATGGGTGAGGGAGAACAGAGGAAGCAGTGGTCTGCAGGCTTATCTTTGAAAAGAGTGAGGGACAAACATATTATCTTCGAGAAAAAAGGTTTGAGAGGTTAGAGAAGATCAGACAAAAGCTGAACACACCCAGATAAGAGTGAGGTAACAGGCCTCAAAGCAAATTTCTTGCCTACCTCCATTGTCCTTAAATGGAAATCACAAATAGACATGTTGCAAATAAATTATGTTGTAATGAAAGGTGTTCTGGCATTTCTATTAATAAGCTTGGTTGAAATTATGGAATGCAGTCTTAAAACATGCTGGTGATTTTATGTTAAAAGTAAAGTGCTGTTTGGTGGAGTTTTATTTGAAAATGTGTGATAATTCTCTAGGCAAGCCTTTCTCTCTTTGATGTGCTAATATCATGTGCAGTTTCTATTTTATAATATATCTTCTGTATTTGGTGATGGCTACTTAGTAAATCCTTTCTGATTTCATGGCAATTTGATTTTCATCAACAATACAATCAACTGAAAACCTTCAAAGTGCTGCTGCTGCCTGTTGGGTGTGAACCCCACACCAATCATCCTTCTCTCATTTGGCTTCTGGGCTATGCCTCACATCAAACAGCACCGTTAGTCTCTCAAATCCTGCTTGTCAGTCAGGCTGGGATCGGTTAGGTAGACTCCTGTTCCAACTTTTTAATATCCCCAACAACAAAGCAATTTGTAATCCCATAAAACCAAGAGCCCAGACGCTCTGATTTTAATTTTAGCTGTGCCCCTAATACACTGCACCATAGATCAGCAATGTTTCTTCTCTGTTTTGCTCTGCAGGAGAGAATGCTTAGTCCATCGTTACTTCCAAACAGAGATAGAGGAATAAGCATTCTTCTTTTTTTTTTAAGATTTTATTTATTTATTGGACAGAGAGAGAGAGCACAAGCAGGGGGAGCAACAGACAGAGGGAGAGGGAGAAGCAGGCTCCTTGCTGAGCAGGGAGCCCAATGCGGGGCTCAATCCCAGGACCCTAGGATCATGACCTGAGCTGAAGGCAGACGCTTAACCGACTGAACCACCTAGGCGCCCCTGAATACACTTTATTCTTTGCTCAAGTATCACTTGAGTTTGTGAAGGACAAAGAGTAGATGAGAAATTACAGATAGGTGGGAATAAATTTGATTTATTCACTGCATTCTTCTGTTTCTTGGATCTGAACATTGAGAAATTAGAGTAACAGACTGAACGGTCCCACCTGAAGGGTAGGGGAACAATGCACTGCAAATAAGTGTTTTGTGAGAACGCAAGGAAACTAGTTTCAATGGTGAACCAACACAAGGGTATCTCATCCTATGATATATTTGAACTCCAAGTGACCAAACAACAAAAATAGTCAGGTTTGAGTTGAAGAGTGATATATATCATGATACTAGTGCGAAATAATTTCTTACATTAACAACTTCAACCCTTTTATGTACAGTTTGTCATTCACTATAGTGGATGACAAAGAATGAAAAAGAAAAAAGTACCGTAAACCTGTCCAGGCTCAGTTCTTCATAAGCTTCAATGATAGAGCATGAGGTGACAATGTTTTGTATGTTGTGAATCAAAGTTACGTATTACTTTAAATCATTACTTTCCTCTAGTCTGATTTTATTTACAATTAGACAAATTTATTTTAATTTTTGTAATTAAAGCCTGCTGTTTGAAAACTTCCAAGGACCTAATGTCTTGGCCATAAACCAAGGATACTATACAAAAAATATGTATAACTTTTAAAGTTACTAGTATAATAGCTTTTCCTTCATTGCCACTCGTCAGTCATTATTTGACCCGCACCCTTGTTTCCTGTAAGAAGTGAAATGTGGGAATCACAGAATCAAGATCTCTCACACCACATTGCAGGAAATTTTTATTTATTAAGCTATTAAAAATAGAATGTATGAACACAGAGACATTTCTAGACATTTTACATTTTATAAACCAG